TTGGAAATGAGTATAAGTTTGAAACTAAAGAGCAAAGTTTTCTGGATGGTCTGTAAGCTTTTGTGAAGAAAATGTAGTTCTTCCATTTCTGATTTAAGTACAGCGTAAGCAAAGCAGACACTATGCACATGAAGCAATAACCAAGCACTTGCAAGAGGATTAGACAATCCTCATTTCCACAGAATGATTGGCTGCTAAAGCACTTAGCACAAACTATTTATTAGTTGCCAAAGCAACCAGTAAAACAAACGGTGAAACTAAATGTCAAACTCAGTGTTTACATGGAAAATGACTGTGCGGGGTTTTTTATTCTAAAACGCGGGGATTGCTGTACAGATGTCACTTCTGTAGTAGAACTGCTTTCAGAGGCTTACAAGTGTGCAACATCCCCGTCTTTCTTCCCCGTTTCTACATTTTCTACATTTTTAACTCCTACATATCACATACTTTACATCCAATAAATCTACTGCTTCTAATTAATTAAAATAAATACTAAACATTCTTTAGAAACTCTCAGAGCTGAACAGGCCCAGCACAATGGGCTGAATCTTACCCCAATAACAAAAAAGAGAATACACCTGCTTCAGCTTAATTACTCCAGATTCCTGGTAGGGTGGTAACATAAAACCTCTGGTTTACTAACTCTCCTCTCAAGAATTATACCAAGACCTACTTGGAAAAAAAAGGAGGGGGTGAGTGTCCATCCCTGACTAGTGCATAATGAAAACACCAAAATAAGGGCTGCCCACAGCTGAGGCCTGGCTGTTGCTAAAAAAGACTTCTAAATGATAACTTTTATGAATGAGTTCATTAAAAATCACAGAATCATGAAGACCAGTCTTTGAGTCACTTAGTATTAGCCATAATTTTCTGGATATAGTAATTATTTTAACATTATTGTATCTTTTTATATCGTTTTCCAAGACAAGATAAACATGGTATATTTCAGAGAATAAGTAACCATTTTCTATATTCTGATTAGCACTCTGCCCTGAACCTTTCAAAATCACATTAAGATGATAAAGAACATGCATAAAATTTTCTATACTGAGTTACACTTGGTGTGCAAATTCTAAGGAACGTCAGTTGCTTAGAAGGGTAACTTATTTACCATATATCATATTAAATCCTTTCTTTTGTTCTGGGAAAATGTATCGAGTTATACCTTCCAAAACAATCTAATAGCTGTACTATAAATGCTGGGCATCTCCTAGCCAACACTGCAAGGACACAGATGTCTTTTACAGCTAATTCAACTAGAAACTGCGAACAGTTAGCATGCTATAAGCGCTCCAGCTACATTCTCTCTCTCTTTCAAACCATAGCAAGGCAGAATGAACAGACCTAAGTTGCTGCCAAGGAAGTTGTGTGAATCACACAGTTCCTGAAAGCATACAACTAAACTGCTTAAGGCTCCTTTTTAAACGCTACTTGCAAGAGGCAAGAATCTCTGCAACGTTATGGAAGGCATGAAATCTTCCTGTGAAAGCACTATTCACAATTATATATGCATTTGGTAATAAAATGAGACCATCTTAGCCACTTACACAAAACATAGCTTGTTGTGAAAACATTCACTTTAATCAGATGTCTGCCTCCCGTTCGAATTTACTGGAAAACCAGTTGGCAACCAAAGTGGAAAATGGACACATGGTTTTCTCCAGTACTTCACAAAAATATTGAAGGATTTAACTGTTTTTATTGAGCCTCACACTCATAAAGATACCCCAAGGGGAAAAAAAGAAACCCACAATGTCCCTGGCTAGAGTAAACTGTTAATCTTCTTTCAAAAGAGAGAAAACTGAAGTTGGGTAGAAGATCACAATGCTGGGAAGGAAAATCCATTTACATCGTTCTTTAGGACATGTAGAAGACACTATTCCCTGCGCTTAAGTCCATTACAAACTTTGGAATTATTACCACAGTATCAAGCTTTTTCTCTGTATTTAGAAACACACAGCAACCTCTACGAAGGCAGTATGTCACACACAGAACTCAACCGGACTTATTGCTATTAATAATGTATTCACTTTTTGACTGTAAGGAGAACTGAACTGATAACTGCCCTTATGGGCCAAGAACCTTAATTTTACCTTAAAATCACTATATTCAGACTCCTATGCCTTAAACTATTGACTGGAACATTAAACTACTGCCTAAACTATTTTGAGATCATGTCTCATTATAGTTTGCTGACTGCAAAGGATTTACTCCAGGCACACAATGGCTGAAGTGGAAACAATCTCAAACTATAATTTGAATCCAAATAAAGTTGACTCGAATACCTTTGAATGTGCTATTTTTAATTCTCCACGGTCAAATATCTCATTACTGATATTTCAGTATTTCAGCTCAGAATTACTCAAGACTAGCATATGGCTATATTTCTACTTATTGATGTTGTGAAATAATAAAATATTGCTTTCGTGCTTAGTTAAATTTCAATTTGAATTCATGCTAACTTACTTAACTAACCTTCTCCAGGAACTCATTCGTTTTTTTTCACTAAAATATGCTAGATTCCCTTTAGTAGCATTTTTGCAGCCACATAGGTGCAGGTATTATATGTGGATATTATAAAATGCTGGTGGCATTCATTGTCTAACTGGCAATAAATGAGAACTCTCTAGCTGATCAAGAAATACAGCAGTCCATGAGCATGTCGAGCTTTCGAAGGAAAATCTAACGGAAGAATGGAGCAATAGGAATGACTCAAGACTTGGTTTCTCATCATCATATTAATTCTCATGCTGAATAAAGCAACCTCACAGAGCATATAGGGGCACTGCAGATTCAGAGGGTAAAGTTCACCTTCTCCTAATACTGCCAGGTACTTAGTTTTAAATATAAAAAAGCAAATCCTCACAAAAGCAAAATCAAACATTACATCATGCTGTGGGTTGACCTTGGCTAGCTGCTCTATCACTCCCTCTCCTCTGCAGGACTAGGAGGGGAGAAAATAAGATTAAAAAAAACCCTCATGGGTCGAGATAAAGGCAGTTTAATAAAGAAAAGCAAAGGCTGTGCGCGGAAGCAAAGGAAAACAGAAGAGTTTATCCTCCACTTCCCATCAGCAGGCACTGCCTGGGAAGAAGGGCCTCAACACTTGCAGTGGTTGTTTTGGAAGACAAACGTCTTAATCATGAATGTGTCCCCGGCCCCCCCCCCCCCTTATCTTTTATTTCTGAGTAGATGTCATATGGTATGGAACATCCCTTTGGTCAGTTTGGGTCAGCTGTCCTGGCTATGTCCCCTCCCACACTTTTGCCCACACCCAGCCTACTGGCCTTTTCGGAGGCTGGAGGGGTGGGGGGGTTTGGAAAGATGGCCTTGATGCTGTGAGCACTGCTCAGCAGCAGCCGAAACATGGGTGGGTTACCAGCACCCTTCTAGCTACCGGTACAAAGCACAGTACTACAAGGGCTGTTATGGGGAAAGTTAACACTATCCCAGCCAGACCCAATACACATCTCTACAAAGAAAATGGTAATTAAGAACTCTTTTTGAACTTACCTAGTAAGAACACCCAAAAAACACCCAACCAAACCAACTTCCTCCTGTGAACTACTTCCTTATATTTTACACAGCAATTAATAATACTGAGCATTGTGGGGGAGGGGAAGAGCACCTTCCTGAAGAAATATTTTCTTCCAGATTATTATTTCTATAAATTTTATTTCTTTTTCCTTAGAACTGTATGGACCGACGACCAGGTCAAATGCTTATCTGACTCTGGGGACAGCATTCACAGTCCCAAGACAAATGAGATGGTCCCTATAAACGACTGGCCACTTGACACTTGAAAGAGTTTCACAGCAGCCGCCAAGAAAAGCTGGGAGGTAGAGCAAAATCACCTGTATTTGTTTTTCTCCTTTCATATTTAGCATCTTCCTTTCCCTCTTTCGTTCACTTTGTCTCTCTCTCTTTTTCTCTCATTTGGTGAGAAAAAAAGACATTTTGAATGCAAAATGAAATTGGTTGTCGGATGTGGTCCAGACCCCTTGGGCTTTTTACATTCACACATGGTTTAACATAATGAGACAGAAAATTGGCCATTCAGGTTTCAGAGATTACAACAGAACAGCTATTGAGATAACGGCTCCTATAGTAATAAGAACATTTGACATCATCTGATGCTTGTTTAGCCTGTTCATAGACATAAACTGTGTTGGTATAGCAGATCTGTTGTAGCTGAGTTTTTTATTTCAGCAGAGGAAAGTCCAATAGGTTTTATGCTACCTATTAAAAATGTGAAACGTACTAATAAATCATCTTAACGCTCCTCTCTGCCATCCAGGTAAACTTGTTCTCCAGAAATGCAAATAACAGTACATCCCTATTCTACAATCTCTGCAAGTTAAGTTTTACTTCTGAAATAAAATTCTTTTAATTAATTTAAGATCAATGGATTTGTTTTGCCTAGTCAAATGAATGCTGATATGTGTGAAATCAATCTTTATATGTGGGATATCATTTGTTACTGTAAGAACCTCCGAGGGTGAGTATCATAAAGGAAGAAAATGACAGAAGACAAAGGACAGTGCTAACCCAAGTACAAGCTGGCTATATAGAAATTTGCAATAACAATCAGATCTTTTACAGCTATCAGAGGAGTGGTGCGCTGGACCAAGGACGTTCCGAAACCGGGCATATGCATGGAAATGGATCAACTCTCTAACAGCCCTTACAAGATAATTCTGTAATTGCAACAAAAGCCCATAATTGAAACTGATTAATTCCTCAAAAATCTGATATAAAATGGGTTTTCCCCTATACTTCAGTGGAAGATTTCTGTAATTAAAATTGTTTCCTTACTCAAATTTTCAAATGAAGCTTTATACCTGCAAGATCTTCTTTGGAGGAAACCAGTCGAGGAGAGCTGTTACCTGGCTCAATTCTTAATGATAATCTGGAAAAACAAGTTTTTAGAGAAATTAACAAAAAAAAAAAATTATCAGTAAAAGTTGAAAGAAACTGAAGAAAGTAATTATTTTGGAAGTGGTAAGCAGGAATTTTACTTTGTTGGAGGTGTAGTTATTTATTTTGTTATGTAACAAAACAATATATTTTTAAAGTAAAACACTACCTGTTAGATCCAAGAAAGAAATTGAGGGAAGTCTATGAAAACAGAAATGGAAACTGATACTTTGTACTCCCTATCAGTGTAAAAATTTAAGTTCATATAGTCTTTCACCTGAAAAAAAAAGCCTCCAGAAGTTAGTAAATTTAGATACAAACCTAATAGCAAAATTTTGTTTCCTCTGTGCATGAAAAGTGAATTTACCATGTTACCATGTGGAAATGTGCACTCAAAAATAGCTATTCAGAAATATCAGTTACTCCGACCTATACAAAAGGAGCATAAGTGGGTACTGACCAACACTTGATAATGAAAGAAGATAATTAGAAGAAAGCTATAATATTATAGGTCCCTCTGCCTCACTCCATGTGTTTTATGATGCACTCACTGCTGCCTTATCTCAGCACTCCAACGTGTCTTGATCTTCCAGCACCTATGACTTCTGTCACCTCTCAAGGTTATGCACTCTTAACTTGACATTCACGGGCCCTTTGTTCTGTACCAGTTTGACAAAAGAGTACGGCGCACTACAATGTTGTAAATTTTCATGGAATAGGCATAAAACCAAAGGAAATAACTGCTGCCATTGCACAGCATTAAACATTGCAAAAAACTTGTGAAGGTTTCAAGCTACAGACTGCAGTACTCCGCTGTATACAAACACCAGTGTAAGTCTTTTAAACTTGAGATCAAAACATGCAAAGGGGCAGGACAAGGCCTCTATGACAGCGTTTCAAAATACCACATATGGCTTAACTACCACTTCCCTTACTACCTTGTCTTTCATGTACACAGAGTTTCATGGGGAATACCTTCCAGTCCATTCTCCACAGTATTCAAACATTGTCAACTATGTTTTAGTGTGAACTTAGTTAACAAACCTATGGTCCCTTTTCACATATTCGAATTTCTATTCTTCTGATAGTACTAGATTCTTTTAACCATCCAAAGTAATGTGTTTCAAGCTGGTAATGAATCATTCCTCTCCAGAATATCTTTTCTTTCTGTCAACATGATTCCCATGACCAGAAGTAGCAACATGCCTCTCCTAGAAGCCAACAATGAGAAAGTTACAATGCTATAACTCAGTGCATGATTCAAATGTTAATCATATGGGAATTCCCTTCAGTATGGAAAAATAGGACCCTACTGTGTGAATATATCTTCCATGCCTGTAGAAATGTTCCAGTTGCATCCCTTGCACAGTAGTTACTCCTTTGTTCATTTTTAAGGCTGATCTGTTCCTCACTAATATGGAGGTTTATTGTTCTTGTGCTGTGACCTTGATTTTTGCACAGAAAGCTTTTTGAAAAAAATTTTGATTTTAAGAATCTCCTGCAGAACTGTGCTATTCACAGATATTGAGAAAATTTGGGATTAAGCTTCTGATACTGAGTTAGCTCATATTTGACAAACCAAAGTCCTTAGGCAAAACAGAACACTCATTTCAACTTGTTCCAGATAGCAGTTGTTCTCCAAACGGAAGCAGACAGCCCTTCTCCTGATAACCCATCACTGTTCCACAACTGCCAACTTCTTTCTTCTATTTCTGTCTGTTCAAGGGACCTGTTACCTATCCTTCCCCACATGTGATAACTGCATGTTTTAGTTTCTGCCAGCTTTGAGGAACTCATCTCTGTTCCTCTTTCTTTATCCTGTTACCAAATAAATTACTCAGTTGTATTAGTACCCTATGAGAAGAGCCACAATTTATTTGGTCACTGTGGAAACATTTGTCTAATAAGCCCACTGCAAAAAGATATGACTACAATTCAGTCCATGCAAGCAAACAGCTTCTCCCTTTTACAGTGATGTGATCTGTAATGCATCCCTCCTGAAAATTTCTTGCTCTGAATATGTACATAAGGGGAAGAGCCACGATTGCTACCAGATTTAAGGCATGAGCATTCTTACACCTTCTTTAGTGACCAGAACATACGACAAAAGCAAGTAAGATCAGCTTCCATGCAGCTACTTGTACTGTACTGTTTCTATCTTTCTGTTTACAAATATTCTTGTAAAGAAGAAAAGGTGAAGATAACAGCAGAAAATAAGACCTAACACCTTTATGCTTTTAACAAGGTTTTAGAAAGAGGCATGGTATCATTATACAATCTAGAGAGCACCTGTGGTGTGTATTGTACTTGAAAGTTCACTGACAGAGCAACAAGTGAGCCTTCAGCGCTATAAAATGAGATTACATCACTCTCCACCGCTCATCTCTCTAGAGAACATAAAGTTAGATAATGTTATTTATCTGTTTGGTTATGTTAAAGTTCACTCTTAGCCCTTACTAAGTCTCTGACAGTTTGGTCATTGACTTCAACCATGCCATAATTCTGCAATGTTTTCAAAATAACAAAAATGCAGTTTAGCGATTCAACTTAGGAAAGTACAGGATGTATTAAAAGAACAACAAATAAATATGAGCCTAAATTTGAGGTTTGATAACTACAAAATACTCATGCTGACATGTTTAACAAAATATTTAAAATAAACTCTGAGAAAAGGGAATATATTCTGACAATGAGATGTCATTCCCAGACCATCTTCTCTCCTCTTCCCTCTCTCCCCGAGAAGGCTGGAAACAATCAAACCCATTTTTATTTCAAAGAAGAGATACTGGCAGTCAGGACAGTTTCAACCCGTCTTGGCTTGTTTGTCACCACCCAATTTAACTTTTGCAATTCTTCTGACTGCATTTTCCACTGAGAAGCACAGGTTATATGCATGCACAGGCATGCTCATCTGCTCTCACCCACATGTGCATATAGTTATGCCAGCACCATGAGCAATGTCTCCCAAATAGCACTCAGAGTCAGAATCTTTGGTCCCTCAGAGGCTTAGTGTAATATTATCAATAGGTCTCTGCAGACTTTGACACCTGATGTGCTTACAAGCAACATTCATCATTCATATCCATTGCATGTCAAATTATATTCTCACAGCTCACGGTCCCTGATGATATTCACTAGTATCACTACAAGTAAAAAACCACCTTTGTTCCAGCATGTCTAATAAACCTCTCATAACTCATCAATTTGTTAGCTTTTTTGTGTTTGCATCTGTATCTGATCAGAAATTCATCTTATAAGCCACTATATTCATCCAATATCACAGCACCATTAGAATTTTTTTTTCAGGGATTCTTCTAAAAAATGAAAATCTTTGCTTTACCATGGTGAGGAAGCCTAGTCTTAGTGCAAGGTCTAATTGCTGACATGTGAAATTTCAACATTCAAAAATTATACAGCAAGAGTTCAGCTAATAGAACTGCCAGGAAAAATTCTAGATATCAACCTCAGAAACTGCCCATTAGAAACTGAAATTCCCAAACTGAGGAGTTAGTATTAACAATCTAAGGTGAAACAAAAACTAGAAGTAAAATCTCTAGGAAAAAAAATCAGCATAGAGATTTACTGAATTAACAAACCACTGATTTACCTTTGGGAATTAAGACAAAGATTTTTTTGCCGCTCTACTCTGCTCTGCTGAGACCCCCCCTGCAGCCCTGTGCCCAGCTCTGGAGCCCTCAGCACAAGGACATGGAACTATTGGAGCGGGGCCAGAGGAGGCCACAAAAATGCTCCGAGGGCTGGAGCCCCTCTCCTACGAGGACAGGCTGGGAGAGTTGGGGTTGTTCAGCCTGGAGAAGAGAAGGCTGCGGGGACACCTTATTGCGGCCTTTCAGGAATTAAAGGGGGCCCATAGGAAAGACAGGGACAATCTTTTTAGCAAGGCCTGCTGTGACAGGACAAGGGGTGATGGTTTTAAACTAAACCAGGGTAGGTTTAGACTGGCTATAAGGAAGAAATTCTTTACAATGAGGGTGGTGAAACCCTGGCAGGGGTTGCCCAGAGAGGGGGTGGAGGCCCCATCCCTGGGAACATTCACAGTCAGGTTGGACGGGGCTGGGGAGCAACCTGATTGAGTTGAAGATGTCCCGCTCATTGCAGAGGGTTTGGACGAGATGGCCTCTAAGGGTCCCTTCCGACCCAAAGCATTCTATGATTCTGTGATTTTTGTAAAGAACATGGCTTAGGGAGAGTATGTGAAGGCTTTGTTCTTGGACAGTAAAAAGATGACGCAAACAATTTCTTTTTTTTTTTTTTTTTTTTGTTTTAAAGCCTGATACTCAGAGTATTTTCTGGAACATGTTAGGGCTGGTATGCTCTGTAAAGTAGTTGGACCTCTATCCCAACCTAGTCTTAAATAACACTCTGCTACTGCATGCCGCCATATAGCTCATTTAAGAGTAACCTTCCCAATAAGCAGGAAAAGAGGAACCTAACATAATGCAGAAAACAAAATTAGGTAGCCAGTTTTGAACATAGTTCTGTTTCATGGGATCATGCTCTCCAGTACTGGATGAAACTACTGCTAGGACAGTCAAGCTACTTTTACTCAATTCCCCTAATAGTAAGCAAGTGAATGAAGACAGAGAATAGCCTTACATGAACAAGAAATTTAGCTGCTCCCTGAAGAAGCTGAACAAAACTTACTCATCTTTCTCGAGACAAGGAAGATCTAAGTTGTAATAAAGTGGTGCAGTCCTCAAAGCTGTCACTCAGGGCATTTCTGACCAGTATTTGTGTATGAAGCAAAATGGGTCTGACTTATCTGGAACATTTCGGGCTGCCTGTGTAGCAGTTAAAATGAGGTCCAACAGTTTCTGGGAACTTCATTGTCCCTGAGAATGTACTGTGGAAGAGGCAGCCAAGCCATAACTATAGCTATTAATTCACATGGCCACTGGATGACTAGAAATCTCAGACTAACAGTGAAGGTTTCCCCCTACCCCTCCCTTTGACAACAATTCTTGGTGGAAAAGGTCCCGGGAATATAGCTGCCTGGAAGGCCCATTTAAGATGGACTGTGGCCAAGGTTCACTGTTATAAGTACTAATATTTTAAGCACCTGCCATACAATTCTTTCTACCAGAAGACTAAAAACAATATGGTGCAGCTGGCACCTTTATAGCATGATCATTGCTAGGAGTCAGTGTAATGTTTTAATTGCCTATTAATTTCTCTTGGATGCTTTCCCATAGCATCCTGCCTATCTGAATCCAAATTTGAACTGATTCTTCTATAAATAGTCTTACTAGTATATTGGAGTATCAGTGTCTTGCCTAATATGCTCTAAAGAACTGAACTATATGTGTAATAGCAGCCTACAGATTAGGATTCCAATCCTGACTGTCCTGTCCAGATAACATTGTAATACAAATAACAGTCTTCAAACTAACTTTACTCAAAGAACAATTGTGGAGAATATCAGGCCTGACCTAATGATACCAAAAGGTCAGCAAAAAACCATTGTTTTGGGACTGCTGCAAGGCATGTCAGGTTACAAAGTATGTGGCACAGTGCCACAATGTTTGGATAGTGCTGTCTAGCTCAGGGGAAAACTGCATACCTGGCAACAAGCACTTGCCTCAGATCACTTCTTGCACTCCTGGAGGAGGAAGAAGATCCTGCAGCAACTGCACGGAAGTATCTCTGAAGCCCACTGGCTTCCAGTGATGCCCTGAAGTAATGATGATTAGCAATACATTTTGGGTATAACTGGAAGGAATCCTGATGGTTTAGGCACTATTTTTGTCCCTTTGGTCTTGTTATAATTCCCCATCTTCTGCAGAGAACAGAGAACAGGCTGAGCAAGAAAGATTATTATTTTTAGGATATGACATCATTGTCAGGGGTTTTCTGGAGTGTTCCTACTTGCTGACAAGCATGAATCTAAAGCAAGCAATTGGACTGGCATAAAAAATTGTAGAGAAAAGCTTTGTTTATATAAAGTGGTTGCCAAATTTCCCTTTTCAGTGTAATTGAGGTTCTTATTTGGCAAAACACATGTTGGGATCCTGCCAATACATTTTGGGGCAACTAGCTAAGCTTCTCTCCCTGACAGCCTGGTGCTGAGATAGTTCCGTTCTCCCTGTCAAAGGTCAAGCATACATCTCTTCAGAGTATACGAATGCTGTCCCTGGCTCAAGAAGAGCAGTCACTGGAAAGAGAAAGAGAGAGGAGATTCTTTCCCACTAGAAAAACTTAGCACTCTTTGCCTTCTTAAGGCTTACAGTTTCTTCTGGCATGGGACCAGAAAATGCCAGGAAACTGAAGATCCATTAGGGAAAACTGAGAGGAAAATGTGAAATCAAATATTCAAAACAAAATCCAAAATCTTCTCAAATACAGAGATGGAAGAGGAAAAAAGTTCTCTTTATTGGTAGTTGTGATGAGTTTTGATGAATATAGACTTTAATTCAAAGCTTCAGTCTGATGAAACAGACGTGATAGAAGAAGAAAGTTCTCCAACATATATAAACTGCAGCAACTTTATTATGCTAAGCATCAAATCTTTCCCTCTTTTTAATCTCTCTTGTGACTTCAGCCCAGTGTTTCCTTGCCATAGTGAAGCCTAGAAAGAAAACTGCTAAATTTGATTGAAATGTTCTCACAAATAACTAAATCAAAATAAAAACTACTAAATTATCTTTACAATACATCAAATACCTTCCAGCATTACCAGTAAGGCTGCTTCTGAAGTTAAAATTATTTTCAAATTTTAACTGGAATTACTCATGACTTGTAGTTTTTCTAAATATTATGTTATAGCATCATCTACTTACAGAAACCACTTGTTTAATCTGTTTTTCCTAAGATACTACAGTTCATGAAAGCTATTGTATATATCATGTTAACATTGATGTATCATCAGAAAACTCCATCTAAAAATCAAATTAAGCAACATTGACCAGTTTATTGAATCCAATACACTAACTACAGTTCTTCACCTTTACCAATAACTACTCAGTTTAATTTTGCTCTATGTTTGCAACTTCAATGAAGCATAGAATTATGTGGGAAACTAGTAAATAAAGACCATTTGTTAAATTTTAACAGTGAGATTTAAACCTCAGACAACCCTTAACACAAAGTCTTGGACTGCACAACCTTTTCAAAAGGTTGTGCGCAATGCTAACGTTGAATGTGCATCTGTTGCACAACGCATCTCTATTTGTGAAACATCTACAACATCATGAGACTGAGAAAAGGAAGAACATACGCATTCCTACCATCAGCACTCTTCACAGGAATTCTAATTCCATGAAGCAGATAAATTTTGCTATGAAAACATCATACAAACACATTCCTTTTTTTCCAAACAGTTTTCCTACAGAAACATCACTATTCTTGGTATCTGTGATCAACCAAACGCAAAAGCACAATGCTAATGCTATCAAACCACAGCCACGTATGATCTTTTGCAATGAACTACCTTATGCTGGTTCGGCTTCTTTTGCTGGAGTTTACCCTAAGCAAGGGGAGAAATTTTGGACCTTTTTTCTCTATTTGAAGTATGTCCTAATAATACTTGGAGAAGTTCCAAGAGAATACCTTGTCTGAATGGTTTTACATTTAGAATTATTCTCTCAGGAAAAGCAAGGTTACACACACATTTATCACAAGAATCCACACCGGCAGATTTGGCTGAGGAATAGTACTGTATGCACAGTGGCCTGAACCAGAGCTAGGTGGAACAGCTTCGGTAGCTCAAGTTATCACCAGCTGCAGTTATGTTCAAAATTGAAGAGAAAAGACAAATAACATGAGTCGTGCCACGCAGAAACATGTGGGGTTTTGTCTGTTATGGTGACACCTTTTTTCCTGAACTGTCTCAGTAGGATTTTCCATCTGCATGCCAGCAATAGCAGCGACAATTGCAGAGAAATGTAGAATGGTTAAGGTAGGTCATTTTTTATGCTCATATGTACATGACCCCACACTGGTATTACAGTTTTCTGATCCACTGAATCTGTTCTTTTCACAAACACTAACTGGTAGCCTTCATTTCATTAACTGATCAAGTTTCAATTATTTGTCTCACTACTCTGATTGTGTGGGTTAGCTCTTCTCCACCTCTTGTAAGCATTGCTTTAACATGCTTAAGCTCCCAAAATTGTCAGGTCTGTCTTAAGTACCATCTTACTAAAAATAGTAAATTGAAGTTGGAAGATGTTTTTGATGTATTATTTACAATAGCACAGAGTCAATCCAGGTGGCTTTAGGGTTCCTGAACAAAATTCCCTATCATGTAATAGAAAAAAGACTAGATTTTCATCTGCTGTCAACTTTTACAAAGATATTTCATTTTGGAAATCTGGTTAGAATCAAGAAGACTGTAATTTTGGATTTTACTCAGGCATCCTGGTATTATCAGTTCCACTAATAAAATATTCAGAACGCCAGACAAACTCCAAAACATCTCCAGCCAATGACTTTTTGTTTAACTCAATCAAACTAACAGCCAAGTGATCTTTCCATTAAATTCCCCAAAATCTGAAGAATGGTACTTACTTGTAATTGTCATCTTCTACAAATTTCTGAAGTTCTTCAATGTAACGGACAGACTTCAAATACTTTTGCACATGGGGTAGTGTTGTGAGATGATCTGTGGCGTGTTCAAAAAAAAAAAGAAAAAAAAAAGATGAACATTCATTCACCCCAAATTAATTATTCTTTCAGGTTTTTTTTTTTTCTGGTATGGAAACAGAGAATTTGAACCTTCCTAAAGAATAAATCAGGCAGAAATATTACTTTGACTGTAAGATGATGTTTAAGATTTGATTGAGCAAAAGTGATGCTCACTTGTTAAAGAAAACAGAGATGCATTGCATCATCATGAAGGCTAGTACATTTTATTATATGCTCTCTCACAAGTGGAAAAGAGTTATTTGCTGTGAAACCCAGCTTGAATGTTGTGCTCACTGTTCTGGGGGAAATTACAGCCTGCAGCCATGACTGTTAGTGATTCTCATATGAACATGAAGTGAAGAGACTTAAAAATTACAATGCTGAATACCAAGACAGACAGACACTAAGTTCAGAATGACAGAAAAATCCTTTGACGCATGGTGCATGGACAGGAACATGCCTTGTAGTATCTAACTTAACTTTTATGGTCTCGTAAAGACAACTATTTTAAAGGCACACATTATTCTAGGATATTGTTTCTTCAAGGCCATATTTTAATTTTCATTCTGATTTTAACAAAAGCACTCAAAATTAATGCATATCAGTGCTGGAAGCTGCCAAAACTGTAAAAAGGAAAGGGTCAGTGAAATAATGAGGGTTTTTTGTCATTCAAAGTATTCAAAGACAAAATGAAACTCACAATAAGAACACGACAGCTAAATAACAGCTATTCAGAATCATACATCATTATGCCTTGCCCCTACCTTTAAATACTTTATAATACTGAGGCTGACCACAAAGGACAGGGGCTGGATACTTAAGCATACACAAGTAATTTCTCACCTCATTTTCTTACAATCTGACTTTTTTTTTTTCTATTCAAAACTCTCAAAAAGTGTAGCATTTAAATGTTCTGAATTTATTTAATCATACAGTTGTTCTCATGCTTTTCCAGCCTGCAAGCAATGAAAAGTAATGCTAACTCACCAACAGTATGCTGAGTATTAGTCAAGACTACCAAACCAGCAATTTCTTGACATAAGGCTTCACTAACAGGCTAGAATTGCAGAAATTAATTTTAGAGTAAAATCTTGTTAACAAGAAGAAAGCAGCCCCCTCGTGTTCCTTACTTCATCAACAAGCGAGGTATGTGGAAAAGCTTAACACACAATTTAACAAATGTTGTACAGATTGAAATATTTGTATTTTGCTTTGTAAACATATCAACATATCAGGGTTGTTCAGCCTGGAGAAGAGAAGGCTGTGGGGACACCTTATTGCGGCCTTTCAGGAATTAAAGGGGGCCCATAGGAAAGACAGGGACAATCTTTTTAGCAAGGCCTGCTGTGACAGGACAAGGGGTGATGGTTTTAAACTAAACCAGGGTAGGTTTAGACTGGCTATAAGGAAGAAATTCTTTACAATGAGGGTGGTGAAACCCTGGCAGGGGTTGCCCAGAGAGGGCCTCCATCCCTGGGAACATCCAAGACCAGGTTGGACGGGGCTGTGAGCAACCTGATCTGGTTAAAGGCGTCCCTGCTCCCTGCAGGGGGTTTGGACAAGATGGCCCCTAAAGGTCCCTTCTGACCCCAAGCATTCTACGATTCTGTGATTCATCAGGATGATAACAATAAAATGGTGATGAAATTATCACATTCTACACTCCAGACATATCTAGTGCCAAGGAAAGCAATGACAGTAAGATGTCTCTCTGACTGCCTCCGCTGGAAACAGAATATAACCCAAATGCAATAGCTGTACTTGAAAGTATGTCATTTATAGTCCACACATAGCTGTAAACTCTGCACAACTTCTGTTACAGCTCTCCCAACTCAGAATACATGCTTAGTTGCATAATTTACCAGTAATATTGAAACGGCACAGAAGTGGAAGCTATATCACTTACTAGTGTTCAGCTCTACCCATGTTAGCCTCTTGTGTTGCCTCTACACAGGGACAAAACCCACTTTCACAATGTTGTACTAAGGAAATTTTAGTTAAAGCTTAATAGGTATAACAAAATTTACCAACCATAGTTACAGGAGACTTGCAGATCAGCTATTATTCGGAGAATATTGTTCATTTGATTGGATCTTTGTTCATTCTCCATAATGCTGCCTGAAGCGGGATATGCAGAATCAATGTAGATTAAATCCAAGAGATAAATTCCTGAAACAAACAAATGAATCAACCAACTGAGATGGTGTCTAAAACAGAAATAGTTGCGTAATTTTTAACGAATACAACAACTAGCAACTATTTATCCCCACTGTGGTCTGGGCCCATTAAACAAAGCAGAGTTTGGGATATGCACATTGAAAAATGTCGTTATTAGCGTTCGAGTTCTATGACACCTCTTAGAAAAGGACAGAAAAGATTTTGCTTGTGTGCACTTACATAGGCTAATGTCTACTGTGAGCAATTTGCAGGACCATAAGAAGGACACTAAAATCCCCCCTGCCATAAAATGCTGATGGCAGTACAGGCAGTCTGTGTGGAGCTGACGGCAAGCAAAACAGCCCCTGGCTACAATAAACAGTGTCTACCACTGCACTGTTGTGCCTTTGAGGTCTGCCACTATTTCCTACATTATGGTATTACTGCATGTTTTGGCTGAGGTGCCAGGCTGCATTTGCTAGATGCCAACAGGAGATGTTATTTAGGTTTTGATTATGTGATGATTTAAAAAAGCATATAGAAAGGGGTTTTATTTATTAACTTCTTATTGGAAAAACGGCATCGTTATTTGCCTAGGCCCAGATTTCTCAGTAAATACAGAAAGATAGTAATTATTGTAGTTGCCAAAAATGCTGATTGTTCTTATTTGTATTGCACCTTTCCAAAGCACTAGCTGACTAGACAGGTTGTCATTTTTGATTGGTAAAGCAGCATATTATATACAGAAGTTGTGTGTGGCAAGAGGTCAGCTATCTTCATCATCTTAAAAATATACCTATATCTAATGGTTGGTAGGCAGGTATTTTGCAGAGTTAGTCTCTACTGTACGATACTTTTACCTTTATAAAATATATAAGAAAAAGGCACGCTTAAGGCTGAAATGAAGTTATGATACAACCTAACGTTTCTTGCATGGTACCCAACTGCTTTTTATCAACACATGCCATTCAGTTTCACACATACCATTATGATTCGTAGCAGGCTTGCTTTACAGCCCTAGTTAGAAAGCAATCACGAACAAACAGAAAAATACTGAATGGGAAGTACATACAACATATGATCATCAAGTTTGAGAAAACTGAATCATCACTGAGATTGCCTAGAAAGTTTGTTTTTAACTCTGGAAAACTTAAAGATAATCCTGCAACGCAGTCTTGCAAAACTAATGAAAGCATAAAGCAAGGCGCATCTATTCACTTAATTTATTTTAGGACTTCTGGCTGTGCTCTCTGTTGATCAGGCCTTGGGTGTAGATCACAGGAAGGAACCAAGTCACAATGCACAGTACTTCATCTCTTAGGGAAGTGGAATAGTTGGTCTGCTGAGGCTGAGTTATATATAAAGGGGAGTTGCTGCTCTTTTGCTTCTTCGTTGAGCCGTAAGATACCCAGAAGTACCCAAACTACACAGTACAAGAAAGAGCACCTTCATCCACTCTTAACATAGGTTTTACTTCTTTTTAGTAAAAAAAAAAATCCCATAACTGCACGCTCAAACTGCAGGAAATACAAAGCGCTTAAATTTGTAATCACAGGACTTTGAACACAGGTTTACAAACAATTTATACAAAATTTACACAAACTCAAAGCCATTTACAGCAGTGATAAATAATAATGAAGTGGATGCAACCCAAATACCATAATACCACTTACAGTAGAAGTCTTTTATATACAATCTTCAATATTCTTACTTCTACTGATAAAACAAAGTGCACATCGGATTTTGCTGGATGTGCATTTCAAAGAGGAAAGCACAGTTTACACTGTGAACTGGAAGCAAAATATGACTAAGTTCTAGCAGGACTAAGTCAATATTTTTACATCTCAAAACTTAATGATTCTGTATGAATTGAGAAAAAACCCCAACCATCAAAAAAACCTGTGCACAACAATGTGTGGCACTTACTATGATTCTACTAAGCACTCCAGATAGCATGGAAGCTTGGACCAATGGAGGCAGCACAAAGCAGTATTCCTTTATCTGATTTTCGCACATCATATGAAGACAACTGCTAGCTAAAGGTGGGGGGACAATACATTTTTTCGAGTTGATATGAACATGGCCAAACTGTATTTTGTAGCTACATATTATTTGCCTGTTTCAAGACAAGGCTCTATTAAAATCCACTCTTATCAGCTCCTTTCTCTATGTATCTTGAAGTCTCATGACTATCAATGTCAAGCATTGGTTAGCAACAGATCACGTTCCATCAAGAACAATTTTATTTAAAAATAAGCTAAGTAGAAATATTGTAATCTTTTGTTAGAGCTGAAATAGAGTAATTCTGAAGCTACGTTGTAAAAAGTTTCTATTGAGGCAGAATCCACTGGAAACAATAGCACATGGCAATTGTAAAACTCGAGCCCTTGAGACAACCTTGTAAACTGCAGCTTTTTCAACATTTCACCTTAACCATCCAATTCATATATTCTCCTAATAGTTCAGTAACAGCACTGTCAGAATATGCTTTCCAACACTCGCCACAATAAACTAAGGTTTATACTTTTCAACTCCCGCGAACTATGGAAAAATGTTTTGAAATATCACACAACACAAGCATTAACTAAAATATTAGAATAGCTATGAATTGTGTCACAGAAGTCCGACTCGGCATCGGCATCCTCCCTTCCTCCAAATCACAGAAGAAATCAAAACCAAACTAACTACTAACTACTGTGATCCCAGAAAGCTAACCCGATACAAGTCTTGGTCTTATAGAGGCTTTGGGGAGCAAATTCAACTGGCAGAAGAAAAGAAGTGGATTAAGGAAACAAAAGACTGTATTAATCCTCTATGTATGTGTTAGGGACCGGGTCAAGAAGTATGCTCTACGTGTTTGCAAACCACCTTACGTACTAGAGGTTACTAAGTGATCTGTGGAAGACACTATTTTACTGTTGGCTAAATATTACACAAATATTAATTGTTTCAGATAGAAATCGGTATTTCCTGTGAGTGATAACTTCGCTCTTTCTGGACTAACCAGATATAATGATCTTTGAAAACATTCCCAGAATTCCCCAAATTAAAATTCTATCCCAATAACATTTATTTTTTTCTTCATACTATTATTAATTCACATACATAATTCCTTTTCTGATCTCAGTCTGCAAAGAAGGTGGGTGAAATTAAAACTCAGAAAAGAAGAATGATGAGATAAATGTTTGTAAAAACCATATCACATCCATAAACTAAGTCCCTTTTATAGCAGTACAATGGTATTTCTTTAAAGAATTAGAATCTTAGAATTCCAATCTGGTGGCATTTTATGCATGCTTTGTGCTGGCACGAATAATCATAGGATAACTTAAGTCAGAAGGGACCTCCAGAGGTCAATCTAGTCCAACCTCCCGCTCAAAGCAGGGCTTTGTCAACATTGGAAAAAGTTGCCAGTAGCCTTATAAATTTAGGGATGGAGACTCTCTGATCAACTTAATCTGGTGCGCCTTAACCATTCTAATAGTATTTTTTCTTTTTGTTTATATTCAGTTGTAATTTCCCATGTTACAACTTGTGACTATTGCCTCTTGTTCTTTTGCTGTGCACCTCTGAGAAGAATACGTCTTCTTTCTAAGCCGCCCATCCCCGACAACAAAATGTGTAGTAGAAAATAATGAATTTGACCTACAGGGCGGGAGAACTGTCCTTCATTTTGCTACCAAATAAAATTAGAAGACTAAAAACCTGCAAGTTCTACTGCACAGAAGGAAATGCACTAACACACTCTCATGCACAAAACAAAAATTTCTCAGCTGATTAATGGGTGAACTCTAGAACCTGACACAGGCTCTTCTACAGCATTAAAATTACCAGTTTAAAAAACTGAGTAAGAAGAGAAAAATTGCGTGTTCTAAACAACAACATAAAACAGAAAAATTACATCAGCTTCACAAAACCTTTTCAAGAAGAAAAAGGTAAGTCAGCCTGAGAACTTGACATATGCTAACACTCAGCTTTTCAGCAAACCCAGTATCAGGCAAATGTAAGCAACCTACTATCAATATTCTCTGGCATAAGTAAGAGCACTACTGGTATCTTCCTGATTGTTTAATGTTGTTTTCCATTCTATCCATCAATCTCAGCAGAGAACTTCCTCAGAAACGCATGACAAAACTTCAGTTCTGTAGAACTGTGCTGCAATCTGTAACAACAACATAGCATTCCAGTGCATCTCACAGACATGTGCAGGATGGTCTCAGACACAGAATCTGCCTCCAAAGCTCTGCAGGGAGGACGGAACCTGGTGCATTTTATCCTTTCCAAAAACAACCATAGCTTTTCAGGAGCATCTTTTTAGCATTTATATAAGCATTGACTACAAAAGCAATGCAAGGTTATAGTTACTCCATTTCAGAAAATACATACAAAAGATGCTTTTAGTTCCTCTTAAGTTAGTGAGTAGCCTAAAATAAAACATGTCAGATAAAAGATTTTTGTGTAATCATATTTTGCTCAGACTGCAAGTTATTAGATTGTCCAAGCCTCAGGACTCATATTCCCAGTACCTGATGGCCAAGAGGTCTCAGAGACTTGATATTCCTGTGCTATTTGCTCTTCCACCTCTGTTGAAGCCATCCTGAAGCCCCTAATATATAAATTCTTTCCTTGAAAGAGATAATTCTTATTTCCAAAGCTTGAGAAAGAGGGTTAGTAAATGCAGTATGTTTTGAAAGCATGAATGATATACAGATTAAATATTTTTCACAAGTCAGTATTCAGAAAATTCGCTATGACACACAGTGGAAAAAACAAGCATCACAGACATCTCTGCCTGGTTAAGTGCTGCCATTTTTTGGCTCTGTAATTTAGTTAAAAAGACAAACAGCATAATCTCCTAGCCTCACTGTCATTCACAAAACTCTTACTGACCTCAGTGGTGCTGGAAGGGAAACCCTTTATGAATGCGGGGAGAAAATGCTGTACGAAATGTACCAAGTCTGCTATGAAAGCTGTATTCAAACAGACTGAATAGAAATCACTGTACGTGCTCC